AAACAAAAATAAGAAATGGGGAAATGACTCCCTACTCAATAAATGGTGCTGGGATGGCTGGCCAGCCATATGCAGAGGAATGAAACTGGACTCCTACCTTTCATTATATACAAAAATGAACTCAAGATGGATTAAAGGTTTAAAAAAATAAAATTTCAAACTAAAGGAATCCTAGAAGAAAACCTACGAAACACTATTCTGGACATCAGTCTTGGAAAAGAATTCATGACTAAGTCCTTAAAAGCAAATGTAACAAAACCAAAAATTAATAAGTGGGATCTAATTAAACTGAAGAGCTTCTACACAACAAAAGAAACTATCAACAGAGTAAACAAACAACCCATGGATAAGAGTAAATATACACAAACTATCCATCAGAAAAAGACCTAATATCCATAATCTATAGGGAACTTAACAGGCAAAACACAGCCCATTAAAAAGGGGGGCAAATGACATGAACAGATAGATACTTCTCAAAAGAAGACAAACAGGTGATCAACAGATATTAAAAAATGTTCCAAGTCACTCATCATCAGAAAAATGCAAATCAAAACCACAATGAGATACCATCTAACACCAGTCAGAATGCCTATTAGCAAACTCTCAAAACCCAACAGATGTTGGCGAGCCTTCGGAGAAAAGGGAACATTATACACTGTTGGTGGGAGTGTAAATTAGTTCAGCCACTGTGGAAAGCAGTTTAGAAATTTCTCAAATAACTTAAAATGCATTCAACTATCATTCAGCCCAGCAATACCATTAGTGAGTATATATCCAAAAGAAAATAAATCGAGACCAGTGCTACCAACACGGGAGTGGGTAATGCATCCTCTTGCCATTCCCTGTGTTTGGTCCTTGCCTGTGATGGTGGGAAAAGCAAATGGCCTTGCTGTACCATAACCAGGGCTGCAGTCAGCACTTTGATTCTGAGATCAAATCTGATCATGCTTGCACATAGCACCCAGGTGTTCCAGTCTTTCACGATGCATTAAAGAAAGGGTTGGTCTTGCTGTAAGAGAAGAACAACTGATTTTTCTGATTTCTTACACATTGTTGCCTGTACAAAAGGTAGACATAATAGTGAGAAGCCACCTGAACCAGTCAAACCTGAAGTCAACACTGCTGAGAAGAAGAAACTATCTGAATTGAAACTCTAATTTCAGGAACACATCATTCAAGCCCCTAAGCCAGTAGAAGCAATAGAAAGGCCAAGCCCAGAGGAAGAATTGACAAATTTGGAATTAAAAATATCTGCCTCTCTAAAACAAGCACTTGATAAACTATCATCAGGGAATTAAGAAGATAAGAAAGAAGAAAACAATAATGACATTAATAATGGGACCTCATTTAAGAAGGGAGAGTGTTCCAAGACATATCCGGGTCTAGAAAGTCTAGAAGTCTTCTGTGTATATCATTCTGGAGTACCTATTTTCCATGAGGGGATGAAATACTGGAGCTGTTGTAGAAGAAAAACTTCTGATTTTGATACTTTCTTAGCCCAAGAGGGCTGTGCAACAGGGAAACACATTTGGACTAAAAAGGATGCTGGGGGAAAAGTTGTTCTACGTAGACATGACTGGCATGAGCGTCCGGGTAAAGTTACCATTTCAGTAGATGCTAAAAATTCACTTCTAGAACTTAGTCGAGTTGAAGCAAATAGCACATTGTTAAATGTGCACATTGTATTTGAAGGAGAGAAGGAATTTGATCAAAATATGAAATTATGGAGTGTGATTGATGTAAAGTGAAGTTATGTAACTATGACTGCAACAAAGATTGAGATCACTATGAGAAAAGCTGAACCGATGCAGTGGGTAAAACCTTGAACTGCCTGCAGAAAAAAAAGCAGAAAAAAAAAAAACAAAAAGATGACAGAACAGATTGAGTAGGAGATAGGAAGAAGGCTATTACGTATTTCAGAATTCTTAATACCGTGTGATGTGGTGGCTTGCTGCTGTAATCTTTTGTTTTGTTGTGTGTTACTAAATCTGGCATTTCAGAGTTAACATTAGGTTCTTAAAAGCTAAAGTCAGTTTGTCTTTTTGTGCCTCTCATCTTTGTTATATATTAAATTATACACAATTTAGCTAAGAAGGAAAATATGGAAGAAATGGAATTTTAGTTTAAAGGAAGTCAATGAAATGATTAAGTTTAAAATAACAGCATTTTAATTTTTCAGAGAAATGGGTTTTCTGAGATACTGTTGTAATCAATAACATGAAGATATAAAATTTCCCCAAAAAAATTGTTAAAGCAAATCTAAAAGTAGAAGAGTAGATTCTGTGTTCAACTCTAGAAGATTAGATAGAAAATAATCTGTGCCATGAACCTTTCAACTGTCTCTGTGAACAAATGTCTCTAGTAATGCCCACCCTAACTCAATTCCCATAGGCTTAAAGTTGCAACAGTATTTATTTGCCCATTCAACAATTTTTTGTTTAGCACCTGCTATGTGGTAGGCACTTCCAGGGATATGAGTGAACAAGGTAGTTATAGGTCTTACTCTCATAGAAGATAATTCTTTAGGAATGGTCAAAATTATACATGCACACACAGTTTGACTAATTGTGATGTGTTTTGAAGAAGGCAGCAAAGGAATTGGAACAGTTTTAATAAGACTGCAGGTTGGCAGTGGGAACAATGGTCTTTGCTGTCATTTTTCAAAAATTCCAATGAATGGGAATGACTACTGTTGCATTAAGTCGTATGTCTCCTGCTGACCCATAGTGATTCTCTATTATCAGAGAGAGAGAACTGGTTTTTCAGCATATGAGATAATATTAGTCAAACAAATTCAGATGATGAAACCAAAATTTCTTAATGCTTAGAAGTAACATTAATTTGATCAAGTCATCTAGATGATGTGTTATTAAGTTGTTGTGAGATATGAAGAAGTAGCTGTTACTACTGCCAATAGCATAAAGGTTGGATCCACATCTAACTGTGTTTGAACATTAACTTGCCTACATCCCATGAGGTTCTGGGCAAACTATTCACATCATTGTCCCTACCATCACTACTATCCCATCCACTCTTTCTTAATTTTCTTATCGGTAAAGTGGGAATCTGTATGAATCAGGATTGGGGAAGGCAAATAGTAGTCATTATACAAATGGTAACTATGCTATCATCAATAATATAGTCTACAGCTATGATGAAGCTAATCAGAAAACATTGTCTATTATCAGTAATTAGCAATATCAATAAATATCATAAGAAAAGTCCCAGCTGTCAGTGAATAAATAGAAAATAGTGCTTTGTCTTAGAGAAACATATACAAAATGAATGGTGGTAACAGTGCTTTAAGTTAACTCATCAGTTTATATGTATAATGCATATATAATTTTAAATTCATAATTTACACATTGTACATGGTTTTGGCTTGGTAATTTATGATATACATAAATCATAAATGTATAGGTTGAAAAGTTCAGTTACTTTTTTCCTTTCCTTAAATCATTTTTACTTTGCTGAAGATATGCTCTTTTCTCTACTTCTTTAGAATAATATATTTTATTTTCTCTTAAAGTATTTTGAGACCATGTAGCCATTTACTACACCAAAATGTTTTTTTTGTTGTTGTTGTTGTTGTTGTTTCTTTGCAAATGGGGGGTATTCAAGGGTGAATTTATAGTGGCTGGGGACCTATTCAGAAGTAAGTAAAACTAAATTTTCCCCATTCCTGATCTGAGATCAGAGCTATTTCTACCTCTAGCAAAGACATACAGTCATTCCAGGCACTGGCTTTTCAGGGAACAATCTGTTTTCTTGGCAAGGGGCAGTAAGACCATCAATTAGTAATTCTACATGTAAAATAGCTAAACCCTTATTCTAAAGGAACTGAAAATTGCAGACATAACCATTAACACATAAGGTTAGTCATATACAATTTTGACCAAAATGCTTGTTTGCCACTGGTATTTATTATAATAAGAACTGGAGAATATAATCTATCTCAAGAACATGTGCTGAGCACCCATAAGTTGCAAGACACCCTACTGGGCAGTATGAGATTATAGTAATTTGGTATTTCCTACTGATGAATTGAGAGAGAACAGGTACAAACACAGTATCCAAAGGGAACAGTGGCATGAAGACAGGTACACACAGCCATGCTGGGAGGCCCCAGGACAGGAGAGGGAGGAAGAGAGATACGGGTTAAACAGGAGCTACTCTTTAGGGAAGATTGCCCAGGTCCTGACTGACATCTGACATTGATTAATTGATACCCTATCCTAGTGTTTAACAAGTGTTTCATCCAAAAAGTCTTCTGTAATATTTAACTTCACTTCCTTCAGCTTCAATTTATGCACATTTCTTTTGTCCTCCCATCAAAAGAGCTAAACAGCAGACAGTAACAAAATGGTTTATATTCATATACCTAAAGGATTTTTCATCATGCTTCTGTCTTCTACAGACTAAAGAAAAGCAAACAGTAACAAAAATAATTCAATCATTCTTCAAAAGCCCTATTTAATTTGACTCATTTATAAATAATAAGCCTTGATACTATGTTTAAGTGTTTACTCTTTGGAAAAAAATAATTTTGACAGTGATATAGAAAGAATGACTTGATTTCTATTTCAAAACAAAATTGTATATCCAATACTCAAAACAGAATTTTGTAAAATAAGTTTATAAAGTAAAATGAATATAAGAATTATTGAGATTATGAAAGCTAAAACTAGTGTTTATTCATATAAATTATGCTAATAAATTGTATACTCATTATTGCATTTTACGTTTTTGAAAAGTAGAAAGTTAATGCCTGTGTTTTTATATGAGTATTATATAATTAAAGAAAATACTGGATTAATTTTTTAACTTTAGTGTTTCACATGTTTCTTTTCTCTGCACCAAAAATTACATTTTTGTGCCCTTATGTACCAGGCAGAAATTGATCTGCAATACATGTGGAGTCTCCAAGGGTATATTTAAATTTAGTAATTTTATTGCTAACTGTGAAGTTAATCTGCACTATATGGGTTCTTTTCCCCCAGGAAACTGAAATAGCAGTTCAAGCTAAACAACCGGATGTGGAAGGGATTTTGTCAAAAGGGCAGCATTTGTACAAGGAAAAACCAGCCACTCATCCAGTGAAGGTAATGAAGCAACCTCTAGCAACATCTATTCATAATGGGTTGTGCTTCCCCTGTTGTACATTTGCCATTGATGTGTACTATTTATAATCAATGAAATAACTTGTAAGGAAATATTGGCCATACTGTAATAGCAGAGGCAAAGCTGTCTTTTTGATCAGTATATCCTATTTATATATTGTGATCTTAAGGCTATTAACGAGTCATTGCATTAAAGGACTCATTTCTGTCCTGGTGTGCTGCCATCAATACAGAGTAGTCCCACCTTCAAGGTAGATTAAATTCTTTGGGGCTTTATTGCTTTGCTTGCCAGCCTTGATGCTTTTCATGTTGTTTGGTTTAATTCAAATCAAGCTACTGCATCATACTGTCTGTCTCCAACAGCTGTAAAGAATCACAATATGGTCTGTGACCTTTCTTTTCTCTGTTGCTCTTTCTTATAAAAGAGGAAAATCGGCATTCAGGCTTCAGTATTTTATTGGGTCAAGAATTTTTAGTGAAATGTCACGTAATTGCTTCTTCCTTTGGCAAAAAGCTGGCCTGAGATAAAGCTTTCTACTTTTTTTTCTTCTCCATATGCATGTTGAAGTCTAAGGCACATTTGTTCGCAGGCTATTACATAAGGAGGGAGATGGAAAGCCAAGTCAGTTTTCAAAATAAAGCTAATCAATGCCTCCATTTGCAAATGAGAGTCCAGTGATAAATACACTATAGGTTATTTAGCTATAGAGAATATACTATAGAGAATCAGCAATAGGTTACTTGATTCTCTGTACCTGACCAAAATTATAATGGTTCCCATTATGATGCAGGTTCCTGGGATCCTGTAATCGTGGCTGTTTATTGATCAGTCTTGGGTTCTCAGCTAATGTTGCATGCTTGGCTACAATGAACTTTGCCTTCATGTTTAAAACTGCTCAAAACAGTTCAGGTCAATAACCGCATTATACAGAACCAGTTTGTCCTTGCAAACAACGTTATCATGACTTAGATTCTATCTGTAAGGTCATTGCTTAGTTTCCCTTGTTCTTGGCCCAAGCTTCATTTCTAGAAAATTGTTTGTTTTTCTCAGAGTTTACAGGAGACTTTTCCTTAGGTAAAGTTGAATTTTGGACCTGAGCTTAATGTCCAAACACCAGACACTGAAAAGCACAGGTTTATCTGTTGATATCAACATATATTTATTCAGGAGTATACTGCAACCACTCCTAAAATCTAGAAAAGTAATTTGTATCTAGTTCAAGCCCAGTATGATAATTTTTCATAAACTAACAATGTGTTATTTAGTTAGGAGAGTTAGAGGATGTCCTGAAAGCAGCAAATTTCAGGGTTTCTGTTGATGTTCTGAAGAAAGCCAGTCCCCAGAGTGGTTAAAGGGTGACTTTCATTGTAGCAAGCCATGAAATGCAAGTTCTATGCTTTGTTGATCCTCAAAGACTTTATGCCTTATGGTGTATGACTCTGAACTAAGGTTTGCCACTAATTGTTAGAGATCACAAAAGTACATGTAATTTGGCTTTTATTTTTGTGCCTTTGAAAAAGAGAGAGATCTTAAATAAAAGCCAGTGAAAAAATGTTTGCTTTCATTGCATATAAAACAATCCAAATATTTGATGCTAATTTATCACACCTCCACCCACACAGTCAACTACTGGGCCACTTTGAGATCAGAACTGGGATCTGCCATGCCTGATCATATCAGCTTTCTGCTGATGCATTAGTGATGCAAAAGGAGAATTATTTTTCTGGAATAAAAAGAAAGAACTAGGAGTTACTGTTTTCCTTCTCTTTCACAACCCTTAAAACCATTTTTTGTAGCAGACAACACTGTTCTTTCCTTCCTTTTTTTAAATTTTTTCCTTTTCCCTGCTTCCCCATTTTCTCTCAGTTTGGCACATTGAGAGAAGCTAAACTTAAGGGAAAATTTATTCCTGTTCTACCACTGCTCCCTTGAATTTGCAGAAGAAGCAACATATCAAGTTGGTTAGGTATGGTGGCTCATGCCTATAATCCCAGCACTTTGGGAGGCTGAGGCAGGCAGATCACCTGAGGTCAGGAGTTTGAGACCAGTTTGGCCAACATGGTGAAATCCCTTCTCTATGAAAAAATACAAAAATTAGCCAGGCATGGTGGCAAGCACCTGTAGTCCCAGCTACTCGGGAGGCTGAGGCAGAAGAATGGCTTGAACCTGGGAGGTGGAGGTTGCAGTGAGCCGAGATTGCTCCATTGCACTCTAGCCTGGGCGACAAGAGAAAACTCCACATCAAAAGAAAAGAAAAGAAAAAAGAAACAAAACATATCAGGTTGATAAGGCAAAAATGCAAGACTGACTTGGGAATTATGGGGTGTGAAAAAATTGTTGACTCATGCACCACTTTCATATGGACCATGACCTTGGAAACATCTGAAGATTAGCTGAGGTTTGTGGTAGCCTGAAACTAGAGGCTCAAAAAATGACCTCCCAGTTCTGAACGGGACACCCAGCAATACAAGGCGGAAAGCTGTGAGGGATATTTAAATCTCTACATGGATCAAAGGTTTATTTTTAAAGGTTAGAGATGATTTTTTTCTGAAGGAGGCTCCATTGCTCTGATAGAACATGAACAAAGCCTTTTTCAACTTTGAGTCCATATATCAAAATTTAAAATTTGTCCTGTTCCTCATGCTGCTTCTTCACTCTAGGCTTTCTTGCCTCTTAATAGAAGAGAAAATGAGTCTGAGTAGCCTGCGGCACATTTTCATGAGAGAATTGTTTCTGTTTGTGTTTTTGGGGGGAGGTGCATTTGGAAGCTATAATTACAAAGAAAGTGATATTCTTTAAAAAGAAAATGAAAATTCTTCATGATGTACATGTAAGATCCAGTATTTAAATGGAAAATTAGCATGTCCACCACTTGTAGACATTCTAATTAAAGACACATCACAGAATGATTATGTTTCTTAGGAAATTGAGTTGTCTATTGGCACCTCCACATTCTGCATCAGACAGCCTGTCTGTTCAGCTCCTACACTCACCTCCCAAACAGAGTTCTGATTGGAAGCTGGGTTCATCCCTGTTCAGTTTCTTTCCTTAGCCTTCTTTTCTTCACTTCATCAATTTCATTAAGATTTCTTTTAGTTTCCAAGGTGGCATATTTTTTCTTTCTTTTTTCAAAATCTCTGGCTAACCAACTTCTTTATTTTCTTTGAGGACTTCCAGTAAAAGGTCAAATACGTATTATGAAATACTACTACTAATGCCATATATGTAGCACTAATCTCTACTGCAAAATAACTGGAAAAATCTTAGATTAAATATCTATTCATCTTTGTTTAGCACTTCTCTCTCTCTCTCTCTTCCCCCCCACCACACACACATACACACATGCACACACATACAAACACACACTTTTATTTATTGGTATGATATTTCTTCATCTTAACTTCAGCAATTATTGAAGACTAACTATATAAGTTATATAAATTGTTTAAAATGTTGCTAAGTTATAGTGTTGGTAATATATTACAGTAATACCATAGATGAGGAAGTTTTTAATGTGTTCCATTTTTCCAGAGCAATAACTAGGTCCTCAATAGCACCCCATTTAGCAGTTTTAAAGCAACAAAAACAACTGCTATTAGTAACAACAATATAAGCAACTACAAAAAATTAACCATTTGTTATTTGATTTTTATTATAAAATTGTTTTTTTTAACTCTCTTGAACTTACGTATTTAGGTGCCATTTTCTTTTATTCATACTCATTTTTAACAAGTTGGAAAAATATGCTTTCTGTTAACGTTTAAAAGTATGTTTTTATACTTTCAATGCTTACGTCACCTACCATGTATTAGAACTGAGAGTATTAATGGAATTTTAAATGTCTTGGTTACTTTCTAAAGTGATAAAATGAAGCCAGCTGGTTTGCTTTGCTAACTTTTTATATTATCAAAAAATGTTACTTACATAAACCTAGTAATATATTTTACTTACTGCTCTTGAATTATTTTTAAATGTAACAGAAAAAGGTGTGAGGAACTTTCTGTATTTGGCCAAAGGGTTCCATCCTAACATTTAACACAAAATAATTGCTGTAGACAAATGGTCAAGAGGCCAATTATAATCTTCCAGGCATCATTTCCTCAAATATGAGCTGCAAAATGACAGCATCATTAGTCATTTTCAATTACAGTCAATCACAACCAGGGATGTTTCATTTTCCCAGCTGTTTTGTTGTTAATTAACTAGATTAAGCTGTTATTTTTTTCTCCCAATGAGTTTGTTCTACTGCCAACATCAACATCTTAACATTTCTAAAAATTTCCTTAGGGTTTATTTTTTTGCCTAACAATCTTTAATATATTACTCACAACAGATGTACATCTTAAGATTTATTTACGGTATAGCAGGTTGAATGGTATTTCATGGGTCAAAATGTTGCTGAAATAAATATAATTACAATTAAGATAATACTTGGATTTCATAAATCATCTGCCATGCATACAATCTCATTTACTTGGTGTAACTTCACTTGTAGCAACAGAAATCAATAGAGAGATAACAGACAGAAATTGTCCTCTCAAATGAACAAGTCTATTTTGACTGATTCAGTGAGCACAATTTCCATGCCCATAGCACCAGAATAAGTTGGGAGAGGACTTCTAGAAAGACGATAACAATGTTAGAGGTATTTAATAATTTATAAATAAATGCATAGCAACATTTTATTTTACAAAAAATACAAGTTTGCTTTACAACTGAAAAAAAAAAAAGTATTGGAGTGTAAGAGGTTGAATAAATGCTAACCCCAGGGCATGAACTTGAAGAGAGCCTCACTTTCCCAATGAGAAGAGAAAAAAAAATAATAATAGATTTTTGGGCAACTTGTAAATATAAATATTTAGAAATATGGATAAGATTGTCAAATGTCTACATTCAATCTATTAATTGAGTAGCACTTCCATATTTGCAATCTGACATTTTATAAAATAACAACTCATTTAGAAATATCTGGCACATTTAT